CCAGACTCCCCACTGCCTGCTCCTTCTCCTTACACTGAGCAGACAGACTCTCTTACAGAGCGTCGTGAGCCTGCGTCTCATCCTGCCTCGCCTGTTTGCACTTTTCGCACTGGTCGCCATGTTCCTCGTCCGCGTCCTCCTCCTTTCCCCGGCACTCACACTATGGCACTTCGTCCTTCCTCTGTTCCACTGCGAGTTCTCCTGCCGTCCCCTCTGGCGTCCTCTCTTCCTGACGTCCCGGACCCTGAGTCTGACTTGGTTCGTACTGCCAGCCCTACTGTCACACGTCTCCTAGCCACAGTTGTCACTGACCCTTCGTTTGAGTCCACTGCTGCGTCTGCCCTAGTTGCTGAGCTTGTTGACTTTGCTGTTGTGTGTCGTCTCGACTACACCGCTAGTCTTGTTGCTGAGTCTGATTCTGACTGTCCTCCGTCCGTCGGGGGTGAGTGTGCTCTTGGCACGGACGTCCTTGAGGACAGGCAGGAGGAATTTGAGTGTGTTGCAGCTGCTGTACCTCATCTCGTGGCCATGCTGCTTGCACTTGAGGGAGACCCGGATGCACTGGACATCCTGACCCCGCGCTCTTACGCAGAGGCGATTACGGGTCCCTACTCCTTTTAGTGGCAGACAACCATGGGCGCAAAGATGGCATCTTGGAAGTCCACAGGCACTTACGTCGACGCATTTCCCCCTCCTCGGACGATCATAGTCGATGGCATGTGGATTTTCAGGATGAAGCGGCCGCCGGGTTCTCCGCCTGTCTTCAAGGCTCGTTACGTTGCACGAGGCTTTAGTCAGCGACAGGGAGTTGACTTCTTCCATACCTTCTCCCCTACCCCGAAGATGACCACTCTTCGGGTGCTGCTGCACGTTGCTGTTCGGCGTGACTACGAGCTTCACTCTCTTGACTTCAGCACAGCTTTCTTACTGGGCAGCCTGCACGAGGAGATCTGGCTGCGCCGTCCTCGTGGCTTCACTGGGTCGTTTCCTGAGGGTACCCAGTGGAGCCTCAGACGGCCAGTCTACGGTCTCCGCCAGGCGCCTCGTGAGTGGCACGACACACTGAGGACGACACTTGCGGCCCTTGGGTTTGCTCCTTCGACTGATGACCCGTCGCTGTTTCAGCGCACCGACACTTCGCTGCCGCCGTTCTACATCCTAGTGTACGTCGACGACTTGGTTTTTGCCACTGCTGACAATGAGGCACTGGCCCTTGTGAAGTCGGAGCTGTAGAAGAGACACACCTGCACTGACCTGGGTGAGATGCGCAGCTATCTTGGCTTGCAGATCACCCGGGACAGAGCACGGCGCACCATCACCCTCACTCAGTCACACATGGTGCACCAGGTCCTTCAGCGCTTCGACTTCCGGTTTTCCTCGCCACAGTCCACTCCTCTGCCTACCGGTCACTCGCTCTCAGCTCCACCTTCGGACTCGTCCGTAGAGCCGAGTGGCCCGTATCGAGAGCTTGTGGGTTGCCTCATGTACCTGATGACGTGCACACGACCTGACCTTGCCTACCCTCTTAGCATCCTGGCACGCTACGTTGCGCCCGGGAGACAGCGACCAGAGCACTGGGAGGCCGCTAAGAGGGTGTTGCGCTACTTGTGCAGTACATCGGGCATGGGGCTCGTGCTTGGAGGACGAGGTCCAGTTGTCCTCACTGGACATGCAGACGCGTCTTGGGTTGTTGACCTGGCTACGCAGCGGTCGTCACAGGGTTACACTTTCAGCCTTGGCTCCGGCTCTGTTTCTTGGCGGTCTACCCGTTCGTCTTCTGCTCTCAGTTCCAGTTGTGAGGCTGAGATCTACGCAGGGGCCATGGCTGCACAGGAGTTACTTTGACTCACCTACCTGCTGATCGACTTAGGAGAGCGGCCTCGTTCTCCTCCAGTTCTGTACGTGGACAACACGACCATGATAGCCTTGTGTTAGGAGCACAGACTGGAGCACAGGACGAAGCACATCGCTCTGCGTTACTTCCTTGCTCGAGAGTTGCAGCAGCGTGGTCAGCTTCGTCTTGCTTACGTGGCCACTCGGGCCAACACTGCTGATATATTCACCAAGGCACTTCAGCCTGGTGATCATCAGCGTTTCTGTACTGCTTTAGGTCTTGTGCCTGCTTTGTCTCACTTGCTCACTGCGTGACTTTACTTGTACTGTGATCTATATATATATACCTGCATGCTTACACTTGCTAGGTTATGATCACTGTACTGTTTGTTCTCTTTTATATAACTCTGCATGTGAACTGGCCTTGTGGCCATTTGCTTGTGCTCGGAATGTGTGGTGACTTCGTGATCCACCCTGAGCTTGCTTTGCTTTTCTTGACTGGTCTTGTGACCACTTGTTCTCCCCCACTTTGCCTGTGGGGGTGTGTCAAAATGTTACAATGCTTATATTGTGTAGGCTGTAGTGGTGTAGCCCATAAGGGGTACAACCCAATTAGAGTTAGTACATGTACTCAGTTCTATCTCAATTCAATCATTCTCGTTCAGTAGTTTGACACAGAACAGGCCTGACCAGACCATAGCATGCCAGAATAGGCAAATGCCAGGCCATAGACCATGCAAGATCAGGCGAGACAAGGCCCGCCTATGCTAAGCAAGGCAAGACCGAGTCAGACAGGGCCATAAGGCCAGACCAAGCCAGACCAGGCCAAGGTTGTCATCGATAATACCCTGATGCCTCGGAATATTGAGCGCAGCAACACAAAATTCGGATGTTAGGGTGCGAATTTGAACTATCGGGGGGTGAATTCACGGTTTTAGGGGGTGAATTTGCTACGCCAGGGGGCAAATTTGCAGTGTCAGGGGGCGAATTCGCAGTGTCAGGGGGCGAATTTGCAGTGTCGGGGGGCGAATTTGGCTCCGGCTTATATCCGGGGGAATACCGAACTTCTATCCAATGTTTACTACATCACCACATCCTTCTACATAATCATTTGGCCGCTTCGCATGACTCGTTCGCCAGCCAAATCAGTCACCAAGAAGAAAAGAAAGCAAGAATTAATTAGCCAGTGGGTCCGCGAATCACGAACAATATGGCACATCTCGTAGTTCTAGATGGATTGGGAGGACCGCATGAACTTTTAGAATATATAGGTTTCGTGATTGAGTTTTAGCCTTGTTTTGCCATTACATAGGAGTTTATAGGGTGTCGGAAGTAGCAAAAATCATTGCATAAGCCCTACTGGTAAATATAAGGAGATTGAAACAAATTATCGATTTGTGCCAGACTTCCCATAACGCGTATTACGCGAATCGAGTCTGCTCCGAAGCTAGCTCATTTTCGAATAAGGCAGCGCAGTTCCATTCTAGTGTAGCCTGCCTGGCACTTTGTTCCCTGCCCGCCTTGTTCCTCCACCACTTCAACCCCAGCTCCTCTCTTTTCCCTTCCCAGTTACCTCTCCACAAGCCCTCGAATATCTAGCTCGTACTTCCACATTGTCTTCGGTACAGTCCCAGTCTTGGGAAATCGCGGCAAGGTCTAATCTTGCACGATGCTGGTTTCAGAGCTCGACGAGTAAGGAGCTAGTCGCCTACGCTTAGAAGATTTACTCGCGTCTTTTCTATTTGACCTCTGTGATCCAGATCCTAGCTTCGCGAGAATCCCGAGGTTTACTTTCGTTTTCTAGTCTTCTTAAAACGATATTGCCGATGTCGCGTACGTGAGAAGAGCGTAGTATCTCGTGCGGTCGAGGTCAGGCAGAATAGGTTCTATCAGCCGTAAAGGAACGAGTTAGACTAGTTAGGAGGAGCAGCGAGCGGTGCAGATAGTGTCAATAATTCCTAACAGCACAAGTACGAAGCGCAGTACGGTAACCAGCTGACACTAATAGCACAGCAGCGGGTGTTAATGCTACAGCAGCTTCAGCATCAGCAACAGCATCGTCAACCGCGAAAGCAGCTTCAACAGCAGCAGCAGCTTCAGCAGCATCATCGGTAGCAGCTCCAAGCAGCAAAAGTAGCAGCAGCAGCAGCAGTCCGGCATGTTTCATCCAGGCCTCATGTCAGCCGCGGCCATGACCCCGGTAAGGCCCGATCAGGTTGTTTCGGTGAAGCAGAGCACATTCGTCACTTTGAAACCATAAATCGATCGCGCTGTGTGGCCGATCGTGTTGTTTCTGATCGCACGAATGTGGCCGTTCATACAAGGTGAGCGGATTAGTATATATTTTTTTATAAGAGTTAAAGATCTTGCTGGAAGTGTTGGAGTTTAAACATTTTAATAGATCAGTTTTATTTTTTTGCTTGGTTCGAAAAAATGAAAGATTAGTCCTGGTACGAGAACGTTTAGATCGCACGTAGCCTATCATCGCGGGATTTTTAGTAGCTTACGGTGACGCGGCGATTACTTACCCGTATTCGTCAGTAGTTTTGTAAACGCTTCTCCGTAGCCGGGCGTCTTTCGTTAGTGTTATGCCGTTTTTGTCCTTCCGGAATCGACGATTACCAACTTTCGCTCGCTCCCGTCTCTCCTCTAGTGCAACACTTTTCTGAGGTTTTTGTATTTTATTTTTATTTCTCTTTTTTTTTTGGGCAGCTTGACTCTGTTCAGAGTGGTAGTCTCCCGCCCGGCTTTGATCCGGCTTCTTGTCGCAGCGTGTGAGTTTCTTAGCAGTCAGAAGGACAATATTTCGCCAGGGCTTTATGTCGTTAAGAAAGTGGTACTCCGGTCTGTTTAGGAGGCTGTTCCTAGCCTCTCGAAGCGTAATGCCGATCTGCGCGAGGGATCTACAATCCCTGTCAATGGCGCTTCAGCCGCCGTTTTCCTTCCATGAGCCGGCGTGCATTTCCTTTTACACCCTACGCTAGTCTTCAAGTTTTCGACACTCGGTTCTTGTATCCCAGGATCTGATCCACTGTGTTGCGTGGCCTGCCTGTGCTGTGTTGCGTGGTTCGTGTGCTCTGCGCGTGGTCTGCGTGTGCTGTGTGCGCGCGGGGCGGGGCTTGGCGCGCAGGTACGTGGGGAACGTGCACACCAAGGTGACGGAGCCCATGCTCGGGGATATCTTCTCCGCGCTCGGCCCGCTAGAGGGCTGCAAGCTCATTCGCAAGGACAAGGTGAGTGAAGGAGCCCACGAGTTTAGCACAGATCGGTGATCGTCATGCTGCTGCGTGCTCCGCCGCTGCTGCCCCTACAAGTTGAATGATCTGTGGAATCCGTTTCAAGGGTTTTGCAAGTGTGCGTTTGCCTGACCTCTTGCCTTTTTACTACTGAACTTCTCGTTTCTTGTCTTCTTTTTCTCGAATCTCCCTCACTTGCGTCTCCCATATTCCCTCCCGTTTGTCTCTCCTCCTGCGCCCCACCTGATCGCCGCCACGTCATGACCACGTGTCTCTGCCACTTGCCACGTGTCACCATCACCAACCGTGCTGTGCGGCCTTGCTCCAGTCGTCGTACGGGTTTGTGGATTTCTACGACCATCGATCGGCGCAGGCAGCGCTGATCACACTTAACGGCCGCCTCCTGTAAGCCGCCGCTGCTCACACACACACAACAGCGTGCATGCCCTTTTGTTGTTTTCTGGAGGTTTAGGGTTTGGTTGGACGGGAGGAGTGAGGGGGGATCGGATGTGTCGTGTTGTTGTGATTTTTTGTGATTCTGCTTGTGTGGAGTGTGCTGAATGGGTGACAACGCTTGTGGAGTGTTTTGAGGGCGGACACTATAGTAGGGAGGGAGGGAAAATCTATGTGGACAAGGAAAGGAAGGCGAGGCAGGACGGGGAATGTGAGCATTGAGTTAATGCGTGATTCGGTCAGGGAGGAGGGGCCGTGGGGGCTGGGGATGGGCATGTGTGTGGAGAAGATTTGAGGAGTTGAAGCAGAAACGGCGCAAAATGAACCTGTGAGGGTTGGGAAAAGTTTCCGACGTTTCATGTTTCACCACTTACATGCACTTCCGTGCTGTTTTGTTCTTCTTCTACTTCTTCTTCAAAGTCCCCTCCGCCCTCTCCTCCATCTCGCCTCAATCTGTCTCCCAAACTTGTTTCTGTCACGCCTAGCCCCATGTCCGAGTAGTGAGTGTATCACGAGCCACTGGGTCAGACAGTTGCCAATTGTCGGACCACCCAGTACAGTACAGTCTGTATGCAGGCATGACATGCCATCCCATGCATGCGTCCCATGGCCCGTTTCTGCACCAGCTTCTGTTTGTTAGTCGACTCATAGCTAGCGTCTATGTGTGTGTGTGTGTGTGTGTGTGTGTGTGTGTGTGTGTGTGTGTGTGTGTGTGTGTGTGTGTGTGTGCGTGTGTGTGTGTGTGTGCGTGTGTGTGTGTGTGTGCGTGCGTGCGTGCGTGTGCGTGCGTGTGCTTGTCCCCCTGTATCCCTGTATGCGTCCTGTCCCGTGTGCTGCGTCCTGTGTGCTGGGCACCAGGTTCGGGCAGCCGATCAAGGTGAACTGGGCGTATGCCAGCACTAACCGCGAAGACACCTCAAGTACGCACTGCTCATGCCCCTCATGCCTCTCACGCTTCTCACTCGCCTCACACCCCTCACGCCCCTCAGCCCTGACATTTGCAACCGCGTTTTACCCTCGATTCCTGTTAGTGCGCCCCTCCGTCTCTTCAACTGCATCTCAACACTCCCCTCAACCCCCACCCTCCCGCTCCTCCTCACACTCCCCCTCCTCCCCCCGCCAGCGCATGTGAACATATTCGTGGGCGACGTGGGACCAGAGGTCACATCACAGGCTCCTCGGGTTTTGAGACATCAGAAAGCTTTCCCTTCTCTCCCCTTCCGTTTCCTCTTCCTCTTCCTACCAGCGCATGTGAACATATTCGTGGGCGACCTGGGTCCAGAGGTCACAGACGCCTCACTCTTTGCCGCGTTCAGCACCTTCCCCAGTTGCTCGTACGCACAGCTGCTCAGTGCTTGCCCTTCTTACTCCTCGCCCATCTCTCCCCTCTCACCCATCTCGCCCCTCTCTCCCCTCTCGCCCCTCACACCCCTCTCGCCCCTCACACCCACCCCTCTCGACCCTCTCTCCCCTCTCTCCCCTCTCTCCCCTCTCTCCCCTCTCACCCCTCTCGCCCCTCACACCCCTCTCGCCCCTCACACCCACCCCTCTCGCCCCTCTCTCCCCTCTCTCCCCTCTCTCCCCTCTCTCCCCTCTCTCCCCTCGCCCCTCGCCCCTCTCTCCCCTCTCTCCCCTCTCGCCCCTCTCTCCCCTCGCCCCTCGCCCCTCTCGCCTCTCTTGCCGTGCCCTGGCCTCCCCACGTATCCCAGTCGTCCCTCTTCCTTCACCCGTTCGCCCTGCTTCTCCTTTTTCCGTGCCTCACCATCCCAACGCCTGTGTGATTTTTGAGGCGCCCAACAAATTATTTTCATCCGAATCCCTCCCAACCATGCCTTGTTCGGTATGGTTTCCTGCTGCTCTGCTCTGCACAACCTTCTTGCCTGCCCTTCTCCTCTCTGCCTTTCTCCTCCGCATCAGTTTACATTCTACGTTTCCTTGTAAGCAACAAAGTAGCACGTCCTCATCCTTGCACCCTCCTTCCTTACTCCGCCCTTTGCCCCCACCCCCCCCACCTCCCCCCCTCTCTTCCCCCCAAAACCCCCCTTCCTCCTCCTCTGTCACCTCGTTGTCCCGCCCACGCCTCCCCCCTTCTCCCCCTTCCGCTCTCTCTGTTCCCCCCAGGGACGCGCGGGTCATGTGGGACCATCGCACAGGGCGCTCAAGAGGTTATGGCTTTGTGTCCTTTCGCAGCCAACTGGTGAGTTGAGTTGCCGCCTCACCGCACCTCACTGCACCACCACACCCTCCCCTGTACATGCAGTCCGGGCTGGCTGAAACGCCGGACTATGGCCTGCTTGCTTTGTGTCTGGCGCTTAGATGCAGACGACTGGTGAGCTGGTGGCACACCGCGCTGCACCACAGCACACCACACACCACAGCACACCACACACTCCTCTTCGGGCTAAGGCAGCTAAAAAAGGACCGTGCTATGGCTGGCGTAAAGGCCGTGCAAATGGCTGGCTGTTCCTTCCTCTCTTAAGTTGCCCCGTCCAACTACCTTCCTCTCCCTGGCGTTCCGTCTATGCATCTGTTTTTGAGTCTCCACCATATCGTACGCCAGCAGTGAAATCTGTGGCTTTGTTTCGACTCTCACTGCTGGCAGTCGCACGTCGTCGTGACTCTCTCCTCCTGCTCGTTTCCTTGGTCCCGTGAGCTGTTCTGCTCGTTGACCGTGCTCATACTCATCCTCGCCCTCGCCCTCGCCCTCGCCCTCGCCCTCTCACCCTCACCCTTTCCCTCACCCTCATCCACATACACACACTACGTTCTGGTACGTCTCGTCTGTTCAGGATGCAGAGGCAGCAATAGCAGAGATGACAGGCAAGTGGGTGGGCACACGGCCTATTCGATGCAACTGGGCCACCAAGAATCAAGCCATGGATGATGCTTCCAAGCAGCACCAGCAGCAGCAACAGCCAGTGGTGGTGTTGCCACAACAGCAGCAGCAGCAGCAGCATGCGCAACAACAGGCGGCGTCGCAACAAGCGGTGTTGCAGTCAGGGCCGGAGGGTGCAGACGGAGGGGCGAATGGCTCAGTCAAGCACGAGCCGAAAGGTGGGCGGGTTTTATTTGAGTCACCCTTGAAAACTTTGTTAAGAGACACTGAAACAGGCGGCGTCGCAATTAGCAGTATTGCAGTCAGGGGCGGAGGTGCAGACGGAGGGGCGAACGGCTCCGTCAAGCACGAGCCGAAAGGTGGGAGCGTAACCAGTGCTGTGTTTTGCTGTGCTGCGCTTGGTTGTGTTGTGATGTGACGTTCTGTGATGTGTGGTGCTGTGCTGGGTGCTGTGTGTACGTAACTGTGTGTGTGGTCGTTTGCGTTACCTCGCACGGCTTGAACAGAGTTGGTCCAGCTTAAGCTTACGATGAGCTGCCCTGTCCCCTGCCTTTCTTCTACCTCTCCTCCTTCCTCCTCTCCTTCTTACACCTCTCCTCGTGCCACCCTTCCTGCTACCCTGCAAGACTCTTGCACATTCTAGTATGCCTCTTGACTCGTACCACCGGCTATTCGAGTCGACTGAAAAGTGACTCTTCAGCCGACCCAACCAAAGGTCACCTAGCATGCCTCTTGACTCGTACCACCACCTGCTATCCTCCGCATGTCCCTGGTGCATGGCATGGCATGGCATGGCAGACAATGAGTCACAAGGAGCAGCACCAGGGGTGGCTGCAGCCGCTGCTGCTGCAGGAGCCCCGGGCACTGTCGCAGCCGCTGCTGCTGCCGGTGCGGTTGCTGCTGCTGCGGGGGCTGGGGGGCCTGGTACGACGAGCAGTGCACAGTTCACAACCGTTTATGTGGGCAACTTGGCCTCAGAGGTATGCAATGCAGCATGCTCTAATAAGGCACCGGAGGTGCGTTGTTCCGCGGAAGCACGTCGTTAAGCAGAGGTATGTTGTCAAGCGTAGGGACTGAAATCTGCTGTCTTGTGACATAATCAGTGTGCTGTGCTGTGCTGTGTTAGTGAGGTGAACTCTGAGTGGACCAAAAGGAGCAGCACATGTCAGTGAGGTTCAGAACACAGTGGTCTATTATGTGTCATGAACACAGTGGACAGCTTGGCTTCAGAGGTCCACTTCCTTCTCATCCCATTCCCAATCCCCCTGCCTCCCCTCTATCCTCCCTCCCTATCCTCGTCCCCCTTCTTCGCCCCCTTCCCACACTCATTTCTTTTTCCACCCTCATTCCCTTCCCCCCCCCACTCCCCCCTCACAGGTGTCGCAGACGGAGCTGCACCGGCAGTTCTACGCGCTGGGAGTGGGCATCATAGAGGAGGTGCGCGTGCAGCGCGACAAGGGCTTTGGCTTTGTGCGCTACCGCACACACGAGGAGGCTGCTGCTGCCATCCAGGCTGCCAATGGTCGCGTCATCTGTGGGAAATCCGTCAAGGTGGGCTTGTCTGGGTTGAGTTGCGTTAGGCTCGGCTGGATTGGTGCCTGTGTGCTTCATGCCTGTGTGCTTCATGCCTGTGTGCTTCATGCCTGTGTGCTTCATGCCTGTGCCGTTTTTGCGTGTGCCCGTCACTGTGGTTTACTCTTCTCAGTGTCACTACATGTGCGCTACATATATGTAATCCACTGCTCACTGCTTCATTCTTATCACTTTAATATCGTGCCTCCTCCACATGTCCCCCTCTCCCCCCATCCCCTTCCCCCTCCCCTTCCCCCCATCTGCAGTGCTCCTGGGGCAGCAAGCCCACGCCCCCTTCCGCCACCACAACCCCTGGCGGCCTCCCCCCACCGCCCCCCGCCCCCCCTGCCTACACCGCCCCTGCTGGCGCCTTTGGCGGCCCGTCTGCAGCTGACCTGCTGGCATACCAGCGCTTGCGTGCCCTCATGCCCCCTGCCGCACAAGCAGGCGCCATGCCCATGGGTATGGGCATGGGCATGGGCATGGCTGGGGGGGGAATGGCGGGCATGGGGGGAATGGGGGGAATGGCTGGGATGGGGGGGATGGGGCCTGGGATGGGGGGGATGGGGCCGGGTATGGGGGGGATGGGGGGGATGGGAGGAGGTATGGGGCCGGGAGGGGTGGGGCCAGGAATGGGGGCAGGGGGAATGGGGGGTGCGGCAGGGGGAGTGCCTGGGGTGGGAGGTGGAGGGGCAGGGTACGATGCGTATCGGGCAGGATCGGGAGTAAATTCAGGGGGGATGGGAGGAGGAGGTCAGCAGCACATGTACTATTAGTGGACCGAGGGATTGTCCGGCCGGACTCCGGAGTTGTCTCTCATCTCCTCTCCTCTCTTGGCCCCATCTTCCCTTGGCTTCACCTAACATCGTCTCGCTCGCTCCTCCCGGCTTCATCCTCGCCACTCTGTCTCACACCTTGCCTCGTCCTTGCACCTTTGAATTGAAGAGATATTTAGAGAAGAAATGTGTTGTGGATAAATGTGATTACAGCAGGGCTGAGGTGCACGAGTTTTCTGCTGCTGGCTAACATGCTATATTGGGCACACAGTGTTGCTTGCACTGTTCGAACCTGTAGACGCATTGCCAACCATCCATCGCATGGTGATAGGGTATGGGGATCCAGAACCCTATATGTTTAGAAGTTTTGTGAGTGTGAGCAGATACTACATGAAACTGAAAGTGGCGAAACATGTTTTAAACGAAGTACCTCGTGCTGACGAGAACGGAACGGATCTTGTGTGACTACTTCTCAACCGCATTCAACCATTGTGAATCCGAATTCCCGTTCTCAATTGACATTTGGCAGGTTTCTGGCCTCTTCTGTTTGCGCATTTTCCACCATGGTTTACCCATTTCTCCATCGCTTGGCCATTTCGTAGAACCGCGTTCATCGCGGGTACGACGCGCGATTTGCGCCACAACGTCAAGCCCTTCACGTGAAGTGACGTGATGCCTTTTTCTCGTTAAACAATCATTGAGAATAAGTTCTCGACCTACGTTCGGCGCTTCGCAGCGATGTGGTCGGCAGCAGCGGCGCCGGCGGGGCCGCGAGGGCCACTGGTGACGTTCGGCGATCTGGTGGGCGATCTGACGGCGGAGGAGACGCGCGAGCGCGTCGATCGCGGAGACTTCGACGACAGTGAGGGAGGGATTCAAGAAAGGGGTAAGCTGCGGCATCGGCGGCGGCGACGGCCGCAGCAGCAGCAACTGAGAGGGGAGAGCGGTGATGGCATCGCTGGTTCCTCCGCGCCGTCGTTGCTGCCGCGCCCTGCCTCTCCTCCGGTCGTCCTGCCCGCATCGCCGCATGCAGCGCGCGCTTCCCACGTCACGCGCCACATGCTGCTCTCTTCCTTCGAGGTACTGCTCTCCTGCCTGCTATCCTGTATATTGACCTGTCTGCCGTCTGTCTACTACCCGTCGCTCATCAGCCGTGTGTGCTCATTCACCCATATGTGCCCTGCGATGGACCGCGCCTGCTCGTCTGGAAAACCGTATTCTTCTTCCGTTTGTCTTCCTCTTGTTTCCATTCTTCGTTTTTTTTTTTTTTTTTTTTTTTTTTTCTTCCTGTGTGCATTGTATTCTCATCCTTCCTTCCTCTCTCCTCCTACCTCTCTCCCTTGCACCCCACCCCACCGCACCGCACCCCGGCAGGCATCGTTGGACGACTTCCGCTCGTCGCTCTCGGAGCCCGGCCATGCATGGACGCGCTTCACCGCGCAGGTCAGCCAGCCACGCCCACACTGTGACATGCCGCGCCGTGCCGTGCCGTGCGTGCGTGCGTGCGTGTTGTGCCGTACCATGGATGCTCGGCTCCTGTTGGTCTGTTCATGCTGGTCTGTTCATGTTGGTCTGTTTAGGGGGAATAGCAGCGGAGGGGGAGGGCATGGGAGGAGTAACAGGGAAGGGGGAGGGCGTCGTAGAGGGAGAGAGGATATGAGAGAAGGGAGAAGGGAGGAGCAAAGGGAGCATACAGAGGACTTTAAAATAATGGGGGATACGTGGCTTTGGTCAGAATATACTTCAGTAAGAACGAATAAAAAACATACACTTCAGGGGAGTTTAAAACATCGGTGTCGGCTGCGTTGTGGAGGGAAGTCACACGTGTGGTGTACAAAAAGCTACCTGAGGGGTCAGAGAGAAAGCGCTGGAAGATTTGAAGCACAAAGTGCGGGGTTTTTTAACAGGAACGGAGGTGGACTGCATCAGGGTTCATTTGACTAGAGCTTGCACTTGGTGCGAGGATGTGAAATTTGCTGATGTGGACACAAGGGAGGCGCGGGGAGATGTCGCCAACTTACCAGTGGAATTTCTGGCACTGTGGGCTGCATGGGCGCGGGTCCAAGTGGCTGAGCCAGCAGCACAGGAATAGTAATCTGCTCCCTCTCACGCGGCTGGTGCTATTGCTGTGCTGCTGGCTCAGCCACTTGGACCCGCGCCCATGCAGCCCCCAGTGCCAGAAATTCCACCAGTAGGCTGGCGACGTCTCCTCGCGCCTCCCTTGTGTCCACATCAGCAAATTTCACATCCTCGCACCAAGTGCGAGTTCTTTTCAGATGAGCCCTGATGCAGTCCACCTCCGTTCCTGTTAAGAACTCCTTCACTTTGTGCTTCAAATCTTCCAGCGCCTTATCCTCTGACCCCTCAGGTAGCTTTTTGTACACCACACGTGTGACTTCCCTCCACAACGCAGCCGACACTGATGTTCTAAACTCCCCTGAAGTGTATGTTTTTTATTCGTTCTTACTGAAGTATATTCTGACCAAAGCCACGTACCCCCCATTATTTCCAAGACTCACCCTTGTGTACTCCCTCTGCTCCTCCCTTCTCCCTTCTTTCATATCCCCTCTCCCTCTACCACGCCCTCCCCCTCCGCTGGTCTGTTCATGCTGGTCTTTTCCGTTGCACATGCCGACACCGTGACATGCCATGGCATGCCGTGCCGTACGCAGGTCTGATGACTCCACAACTACCATGCCGCATGCCCACTACACGCCCAGTCATGCCGTAACATCCCCTGGTCTTGCTGTTTCAGTCTCCGTTTCCCCATCCTCCTGACCCTTCCCACCCTCCCTATGCGTCCCCCCTCCCTTCGCGTCCTTCCCTCCTTACCGTCCCTTCTCTGCTGCCCACCAAACCGGATACCTGCAACTTCCTTCTTCACATCACACTACCTTGTCGCTCCCCATCTTTCTCCTCCAAGGAGCGCCCTCGCCACACATCCATCCCATCCCAACATGCTCCTCCCCATCTGCCAGCCAGCATCACCCATGGAAACGCGCACAGGCTGCCACACCTGCTTCTCTCGCCTCCATCCCTTCCACCTCCTCCCTCTCCTCCGCTATAAAAATCTTCCCTTCCCTTCCTCCATCCCTCCTTCCCTCCCCTCTCATCTCACTCCCTCCCCTCCCCCTCCTCCCCCGCTCCCCCCTCCAGATGTGTGCAGCCCTGTCCTCCGCGGACCATCTCCTCCTCTCTGCGCGCTCCTCCCTCACCTCCCTCGCAGCCACTCTCCTGCGCCTGCGCCTCCTCGCCTCCCGAGCTGCCTCCGCGCTCTCCCTGCTCCGCTCCGCCCTGCACTCCTCCTCCTCCACCATCTCCCCTCCCCTCCCCCACTCTGATACCCCCGCCTCCGCCTCTTCCCCCTCTCACTCCTCCTCTGCAGTCCCTCTTGCCGTCCCTCCTCCTCGCTCTCTGCTTGCCCAGCACCCGTATTTGCCACAGAGTGTGGGGGATGAGGTGCCACAGGGTCAAGAGAGGGGGCAGTACATGCATCGAGAGGGGGTTCTAGGGGGTGCCGCTGGGGATTATGGTTCGAACGCAAGCCGCATTGCTGTTGCGGCCACGCCTGCTACCGTGCCTGCTACCGTGCCTGCTGCTGTGCCTGCCGCAATCATTACTGGTAGTACCGCCACCAGCGGTGCTGCTGCCGTTTCTGCCTCTGTGGCTCCTGCGGCTGCAGCTGCATCTGCTGTCACTGGGGCCGGCAGTGCAGCAGCACCTGTCGTTGCTCCCCCCCCGCCTGTTTTTACCTCAGATGCTGCTACTTCGGCTGGAGATTCATCTGCTGCCGCCGCCACCTCTTTTGCTGCTGCTCTTCCTCCTCCTTACCACTCCGTACCACCACACCCGGTGCCCTCTCCTGCACCTCCGCCTGCCACCATTGCCCCTCCATCCGTCCCAGCGCCCCCTCAACCTGTCCCCATTGCACATCCCGCCTCCTCCTCCTCTGCCTCTGTATCCCTCACCGCGGCTCACACCCCCACCATCCCCGCTGCTGCACACAGTGTCTCCCCTGCAGCATTTGATCCTTCCGAACTTTATCTTGCTCCTCCCCCAGTGCCCCCTCCCGCACACTTCCCCGCTCACTCTCTCCCACCAACCGCTCCCCTTTCTGACTTCAACACTGCCTTTCCCCCCACCATGGGTGCACCCGCTGCGTCTGCTGCTGCTGCTGCGGCTGCTGCTCCTCCTGCTGCTGCTGCTGCGCCCCCACCAATGGCTGCACCCTCCTCTGCCCCTCCCACAGCCCTGACACATGATGCCACCATGCATGTCTCGCTTCAGCCTCTTCCTCCCTCCATGCCTCCCTCTCTCCCACCTTCCATGCCCCCTTCTCTCGCTCCCTCCATGCCTCTTCCTGCTCCCTCTTCTTCCCTTTCACCTCCTAACCCTACTCTTGCTCCTCCCCTCTCTGCCCCTCCCCTCTCCGCTCCTCCCCTCTCTGCCCCTCCCCTGTCTGCTCCTCCCCTTTCTGCCCCTCCCCTCTCTGCCCCTCCCCTCTCTGCCCCTCCCCTCTCTGCCCCTCCCCTCTCTGCCCCTCCCCTCTCTGCCCCTCCCCTCTCTGCCCCTCCTCTCTCTGCCCCTCCCCTCTCTGCTCCTCCCCTCTCTGCTCCGCCCTCTGCCCCTCCAGTTTCCTCAGACCAAGCTGCCCCCCCTTCTGCTCCTCCAGTTGCCCCGCTTGCCGCCCCTCCCATCGTTCCACTTTTTTCCGCTCCTACTGCCCCCGCATTTTTCAATCCATCTGCCCGGGCTGCCCGACCCAAGCCACCGAAGTTCTTTGTTCCCACTGCCCCATGATGTGCAGTAGCTGATGTTGCTGTATTCTTGATCCTACTCCTCTGCTCTTCTTCTCTGCTTCTGCGTCATCTGCACTGCACATGCATCATTTCCAGTACTTATACCCTAATAGTTCTTCCTTCTGCCTTAATCATACCGGTAATTCAATGAGCCCATAAGAGCACAATCACAAGGTTTGTGGTGGCTGGCACACCTGCCCTTGCAGGTTGCTCGTTTTCTTAGGAGTTGAATGTGGGCGGGCGGAGGCTATGGAGAGACAAAGAGTGTGGCGGGAGAGATTTAAAAGCGGCGATACACATTTGTCTAGAGCTGGTTCGGAAGTTGAAGGCTGTGATGTGATGTCAACTCATGGTTACCCCGTTTTGGAGGGGGAGAGCTGGGAGGTGAGGTGAGCACAGCTGAACTCGAAGAGCGCGCTTCACCATGACTGCAAGCGGCCCAGGAACTAAAAATACCTTTAAGCCCTGCTCTGTTGGTATGTGAAAGCTGAGAATACTTGCATTGAAACTGCTTCAGAAAACCGAGGACAAACCAACTAAGAGGGGGGAAACTGGGGAAAAAGGCTGGGGTGGGGAGAACGCTATGGTAACAGGAGAGGAGAATTATAAACCAGTCCAGACAAGGAGGGTCTGATCTGATCATACCGCAGTGCTGTTTACAGCTCGGTTGCTTCTACCAGTATCCTTCCCCAAGAACTTGCCAGCTGCGCTTTGTGGCACCTGCTCAACAACCTTCCTGTCTGAACAGCACAGTATGGTCACAGCAACCAATCCCTGTGCGCAACCAACTACGCAATATGCCCCTCATTTATTCTGCCTGCACTGTGGCGATAAATTTCCGCCTTATGGCTCCTTTGGCTCAATCAATAGCCAGGCACGATGGCGCCACTGGAAGTGTCATAGGCGTTGCCGGAAGGGTCTGGAGATTTGCCGGGAGGCACTGCATCGTTGCTGGAAGGTTCTGGAGTGACCAAGGTAACCGGAGTGTCGAGGGACGGTCCTGCAGTGCTGTTGGCAGGTTCGATCGTGGCGTTGGAACCTCCTGAAATGGCGTTTCCGGAAGGATCTGTAATGCCCAGGGTAGATTCCAGAATGACCCGGGAAGACTCTGAAGTGTAGCTGGCCGATTCCAAAATGTCGCCGGATGGTGCTGCGGTGCCGGTGGCAGGTCCTGTGGTTTCCGCAGCACAGACAGGGAGAGCGAGGGCAGGTGAGCTCGAGAGTCCATTTAGTAAGGCAAGCGTTCAGTGAGAGTGAGAGTGGGAGTGGGAGTGAGAGTGAGAGTGAGAGTGAGAGTGAGAGTGAGAGTGCGAGTGAGAGTGAGAGTGAGAGTGCGAGTGAGAGTGAGAGTGAGAGTGAGAGTGAGAGTGAGAGTGAGAGTGAGAGTGAGAGAGAGAGAGAGAGAGAGAGAGAGAGATGGGGTTAGCTTGAGAGTGAGAGAGGGGGGAGGAGTTTGCGGTGAGCGGAATGGAGGAGGGGCAAGGCAAGAGGGGACGCACCAGTGAGGCAGAGGGCGGACGTCACTACGCCGGGGATATACTTGGCACTGCACACAGGGGGAGGGCGCCACGAGTGCAACGATCGCTGGTCAGGTGGGGGAGCAACCGAGCGGCGTTAAGGGCGAGCATGGAAGCAAGGCGAGCAGGAATGGAAGGCGCGCGGCGCACCTCTGAGCGCCCATGATGGGGAGAAAGTCCAGCGTCTGGCCTGAGCAGCCGGGATCCTGGAAGAACCGGATCGCGCCGCACGCAGCGTTGCCAGCATCGCTTCCCTGCTGCCACGAGACTTCCACGCGCGCCTTCATCGCACCCGGCATGGCAGGGATGTTGACACAGCGGCGCGATTCGAAGCTAAAAGGACGGCCGTTGATAGTCATTTGCGTGGCAATCCTCGCTGGGGCCGATGGGATTTCCGCTGCGTGCGACGGCTGCGGGAGACACGCTGCAAGAGAGGGAGGGACACGTGGCATGGGAGGGGCACGGAGGCACGGGCGTGTTCATTGAGAATGCATTGCGTGCGCATGAGAGCACTGTGGTGTGGTCCGTGGCGCATGAGAGCATGGATGGAACTGAACGCATGGCGGCGTGGACTCGATGATGCGCATGGGAGCACGCACGCACGACGGCGAGAGAGCGAAGCGAATGACGCGAATGACGGAGCGTACCGGCGATGACGGCGACGATGGCGAGCAGCGCACGCACGGCCTTGCCATTCCCCATGCTGCCGCTTCTCCGGTGGACGGATGGTGCTCAAGCTTCGGCCTTGAGTGACTGGAGTAATTCCAATAGCACGAGTAGCAGATGTGCAGCGGAGCAACTCCGACGGGAAGAGGTGCTAGAGGAATGATTGGTGCTACTAGTAATTGGTAAAGCGGAAGAGGTGACGAGGTCGATCGGGCACGGGTGCTTAAATGGGCATCGCAGCGAGCCCACTAGCGTGCGGTGCATCATCCGCTCCACGGAGCTTCTGCGCGCCGAGGGGCCTCTGTGATGGGAAGCAGCCCGCGACGGGCGCGGCAAGGCATTGGCCATGTACGACCGCTACGAAAGGATTCGCTGCAGGGAACGCGTTCGTTTAGTCGCCAGCGCGCCTTGGAATAAGCGTTTCCATAGGATAGGGGTGTGCGAAGGTGACGACGACGCTGGAGAAAGCAAAAACAGAACCGGATTTCTTGGACATGGAATTATTGGAGCAGTCCATCCAAGACACCTCGTGAATGTTATGTTCCTCCCCAACACTTACAGCCCACAATTACTGGCGGCACAAATTGCTCAATCTGAGAAATCGTGTTCGACGGAATTATTGGTGGCCACGACAAGCAAAATGTTGACACCTGGATATAAGGCCCCATTCCCCCTGGCTTTGGATCAATTACAATGACATGGCCCTCTGCGCCAGCACATGTGAAATCGATTGAAATTCAACGGCATGGGGATGGTCGTGGAATTAGAAACCGGGGGCGGAACCCGCCGAATAGGATGGAGGGGGGGAGGGGGGGGGGGGGGGGGGGGGGGGGGGGAGAGTCACTACACAACAGGATTGGACTACGGAGGAGGGCACGGGGTTGTGCGAGTGATCGTAGCTTGCACTAGAGTTCTTACTGCTTGCTGTGTTCACAGAGAAAGTTTGCAAGGGTTTCCACTAAGGCAGTTGAAAGAACAACTTGCATTGAAAAGTTGATAGTACAATTGAGGCATGCAGAACAAAAGGACTAGAATGGCATGCAACACCTAGCAAGGGCGAAATCTGCCAGCGCAGCAGAGGAGCGGCTTGCCAACGCTGCAGCAGAGTTGTCTGCCAGCGTTGCACTGCGCGCGGTCTGCCAGCACTGCAGTCGCATGTTGTCAAATGTAATTCTATGCTTGTAGGCTACAGTGAGTAGCACAATAGGGAGTACAGTTGTCAGGGTTGCATATTTGTACTTCCACACAATCTAGTTTCATCATTCCGTTGCATTCCTATTCTAAGATGGTATCACGAGTAGGTTAGATCCTCGTGCTCTCGCGCCCTCCGCGCCCTCCGCGCCTTCCGCGCCCTCCCCGCGCCTAGCCCGCGCCCTCCCGCGTTGTCCAGCCCGTCGCGCGCCCTCCTTAGACCACCGCGCGCCCTCCCCCACCGTTGCGCGCCCTCCTAAACCGTCGCGCGCCCTCCTTAGACCGCCGCGCGCCCTCCCCCACCGTCGCGCGCCCTCCTTAGACCGTCGCGTGCCCTCCCCTCCGCCTGTCGCGCGCCCTCCTCCGTAAACCTTCCCGCACACCTGCGTGCGCTTCCCGCACATCTGCGTGCGTTTCCCGCACACCTGCGTGCGCTTCCCGCACACCTGCGTGCGCTTCCCGCACACCTGCGTGCACTTACCGCACACCTGCGAGCGCTTACCGCACACCTGCGTGCGCTTACCGCATCCCTTTGTGCGCTTACTGCATCTCTCTCCCCTTCACCTGTGCCCCGGTCCCACGCCATTCCTACTGCACTTGGCTCCCGGCTCAGCGGCTGGCAGCCGCTCTTCCCTCCGGTAGCGCCACCTAGGTTCGGTTAGAGCCCCGCCCCACGACTATTTTCTCGCCGACTGTCTCTCGTCGGTTTCCCCGCTGGCATCCCTAGCCCTCCGTAGTTTTCCTCCTCGTTCTTAGCTCCGCCTCCGCCGTGCTCCAGTCGCCTCTAGCATGGGCTCCGCTATGGAGGCCCGTCGCCTCCGTTTCGATGCTGAGGGACGCCCGATCGAGTTCGGTACCTGGCAGCGCTAGACCACACGTTTCCTCACCAGCCAGCGTCAGGACGGCGCCACTCTGTGGGCCCACGCGTCGGGTGCTCTCGCGGCACCCCCGTCCCCCGCCGCCCTGCCGACCGCCCCGGAGCCGACTTCTACGGCCCAGGCGGACTACGACCGTCGGGCCCTGGCTCGGGACGTGTGGCTCTCTCGTGACGCGGCCGACGCCCTCACGCTATCGGAGCTTCTCCCCCCGACTGAGGCCGCTCACTTTGACCAGGTGGAGACAGCCAAGGGGGTTTGGGATGCTATTGTGGCTCGCTATTCCACCCCCTCCTCCGCCTCCCTCAGTCGCCTCCTCATGCCGTTCGTGTTTCCCGACCTAGGCTCGTTTGCGACTGTTTCCGACCTAGTGACTCACCTCCACTTGCTTGACGCCGGTTTTCGTTCGGCCTGTACTGACGCACAGCTCCTTGTTGCTCCCCCCCCCATGTGGCTCACTGTGCACTGGTTAGTCACCTGCCTCCCTGACCGCCTTGCCACTGCCCGCGACGCGCTTCTTCAGAAGCACCCCACTGAACTCACTATAGACCTCCTTCAGACTGCTCTCGGGACCATCGAGAGCAGCCTCCTCACCGTTGCCTCCGCCACTAATGCGGTGGCCCCCCGTCTCTTTGCGGGGTGTGCCGCCCCTCAGCTTCCCACTTTCACCGCTACCCGCGCTTCTGCTGCTGTGTCGGTCTCTGAGGACACCGCTGCAGTTTCTGCCGCAGACTGGCAGAAACGGGTCAAGAGTGGCAAGAAGGGCGGGAAGGGGGGAGGTGGGGGCGGAGGAGGTGGCGGTGGAGGGGGCGGTGGAGGTAGGAGCGGCGGTGGTGGTGGAGGAGGCGGCGGCGGCGGCGGTGGTGCACCAGGGGGAGGGGGCCTTGGAGGAGGCGCAGGACAGACAGGTCCACCCACAGGTGGTGGCCCGACCGGTGGGGGTGTTGCCCCCCAGCAGCAGCAGCCACAGCAGCACCAGCTACAGCAGGGACAGCAGCAGCAGCAGGGACAGCAGCAGCAACAGGCACCGCAGCAGTTCCAGCAGTGGGGGCCCCCGCTGCAGTGGGGTCCGCAGCAGCACTGGGGTCCCCCGCCGCAGTGGGGTCCGGGAGGCCCTGGGAGCACCGGCCGCAGCAGCAGCTCTTCCAGCTGGGCCCCTCGCCCCCCTCGTCGTGACGCTGGCCCCTGCACCCACTGGTGCCTCACCGGGCCGGGCAGCCCCTGTCTCTGTGGTCGCGACGACCACTCTGCCGCGCGGTGCTTCCGCCGCCTCGACGACCTCTACCGGGCTCGTTGGGGCCCTCTGGCGGCCACGCCTCGCTGGTCTCGTCTGTTAGCCCATAAGATTGATGTCTTTGATCTGTCCATGGACGATGCGCGTCAGCATGCTTTGTATGTTGATGCTGACTTTAGTGCTGGTGGATCTGTGTGCTCGCGTGTTCGTAGTTTAGCCTGCTTGCCTCCTGCTAGTGTAGCCTTGTGCCTGTCTAGCTTAGGTGCTTGTGTTGCTGCTCTAGGTGCTTGTGTAGCGACTGGGTCAGGTGACCCTCCGGCTGAGGCCTCTCTGTCGTTCACGCTGGACTCGGGCGCGTCTCAATGCTTCTTCCGTGACCACACGGCCCTTACGCCACTCCTCACACCTGTGTCAGTGGCTCTGGCTGATCCTACCTCTGGACCAGCCGTTGCGCGTAGCTCCACCACCCTCCCGTGCCCTGTGGTCCCCTCTGGTGTCCTGCTCGGCCTCCACATCCCCTCGTTCACTCGGAATTTGGTGGGTGTTGGATACCTCCAGGACAGGGGGATCACGGTTACCTTCGTGGGGGGTGGGCGGACTGCAGTCTGTACAGACGCTACCACAGGTGCTGTTCTGGCCACGTTCACCAGGGAGCCCCGCTCCGGTCTCTACGTTCTCCACACTGAGCGCTCCCCGGTCGCGTCCTCCCCTCAGGTCGTTGCGTCCCCTCCGGCCCAGGTCCCCAGTCCAGTTGCTGTGTCTAGCCAGGTAGTCGTGTCCGGTCCGGTCGCTGTGTCCAGTCCAGTCGCTGCATCTTGCTCCTGTCGCTCTCTCGCCCACCGCACCGTCCTGTGGCACCACCGCCTTGGCCACCCGTCGATCCCTCGCCTTCGTGGCATGCTCAGTCAGGGACTTGTCACAGATCTCCCACGCACCTTCCCGTCGCTCCCTCCCTCGCTTGCCCCTCCTTGCTCTCCGTGCGTCGCCGGTCGCTTACGCGCCACTCCCCACTCCTCCTCCCTTCGTCCGGCCACCGCTCCCTTCGAGACTCTCCACTTGGACGTCTGGGGCCCTGCCCCGACGCAGGGGTCTGGGAGGGAGCGTTACTTTCTGGTGGTCGTCGACGACTACTCCAGGTACACCACAGTGTTCCCTCTTGCGAAGAAGTCCGAGGTGACTGCTACGCTGATCAGGTGGCTTCTAGCCACTGAGGGCACTCGTGGTCGTCGAGTCAGTTGTCTCCACTCCGACCGTGGGGGCGAGTTTCGCTCCGGCATTCTCGGCGGATTCTGCGGCGAACAGGGCATCACACAGTCCTGGACGCTGCCTGAGTCCCCACAGCAGAATGGGGTTGCTGAGCGCCGCATAGGCTTGGTCATGGACATCGCCCGCACGTCCATGATCCATGCCCGTGCGCCCCATTTTATGTGGCCCCACGCGGTTCGCTACGCCGCACAC